AAACACTGTCCTCTGACCTACACACATGCACTGTTCACATACAAGCCCTCTCTCACACACAACAAAATTTTAAACCTGAAGGTACTCATTAAAAACTACCAGAAAATATAGTTCCTTGTAATTGCCTACTACAGAGAGTATCATACCATCCACTACATATCACATACTATCCTGGAAAAGAATCCGAATTTAAAATTCATTCAAAGTATTACTTCTCCTAAGTGCAAACTGCTTTTGCAATATTCTAAGCAGGAACATTTGTAAATCAGAACTATATATACTGGGTTATTTAGAAAATAACATAACACACAGTCTCTAACCCATCTGTAGTACACATATAACATAGCTAAAGGCTCACATTCCTGATGTCTGGGATATCCTCATAAAATCCAGGACAAGAAAAGAGAAGAGGTGTAAGGAATACACAAAAAATACATGGCCAAGGTGGTACATGTCTAGAATTGTAGTACTTCAAAAACTAACATAGAAGAATCTTGAGTTCAAAGCCAACATGGGCTACATACTGTGTTCTAGGCCATCCCAGACTATATACAAGGCCTGTCTCAAGAAACAAAATGAAATAGACAACTTTCCCCTTCCTTCAAACACTCTTGAAGCTACATGCTAGAGATCAGGCTCACTTTACTATTTTACTTTAGTATAAGAATTTAGAGGGAAGACAAAAAAATTTAAGCCAAATTAAAAAGGGAAGGGGAGCAATAATACTCAAAAAAAAGCCCATACTTTAATGAAGCCTGAAGAAATCAGGCTATGCCTGCAATACAAAAAAAGTGAGGTCTCTCAATACTCTTGGGCCACATTTAATATATGATACACACTTGTATTTCTGGAAATACCTAGCAACACTTTTATGCAGACTATAGCTTATGGCAAAAGCTGTAAGTGGCACCCAACAATTAGCATTAGAATTTCGGGGCAGAAAATTACTAGACATTGAGAGATAATATAGACCATTTGAAGGGGACTTGGAAGGGATGGGAGGGAGGGAGTACAGTGGTTAGAATGTAAAATGAAATTTAAAAGAATAAAAAAGATTTAAAGTATCAAAAAATATATAGACCATCTGAGAAAAAGTTAGCTGGTAATGGACATTAGTCAACACTGTGTGGCTGGGGGACATAAATTAATCCTGAAACCAGGAATAACCATCACATATTCAAGTATTGAGAGAAATGCTAATGTGGAAAGAAGCACCCAGTAAAGTTTCCTATAAAATGGAAGTATTTTTTACAGGAATATGCAAGCAGGAGAATAAAAACTGCTCATCATACCTGTAAGCAAGTACCTTTTTCCCCAAGGGTAACCTGGGATCAACCAAAGAGCTGCTGGATCCTTTGATTAGTATCTAGCAAACTATTCTTGGTTAGCAAAATGTTGAACAGTTTATAGACAATAATTACAGCATGAATGACCAGCTTCATCTTTAGATCACCACCACTCTGTAGGGTATGCCATTTGCCCAAATATTTAGGTGTTTGCTGTACTCTGAAGATGATATCAAAAGTAAAAGTAGTCTTGTGAATGGATGATGAAGAAAAAGAAATAAGATTATATAACATAGAGTACACTGAAAACTTACACCTTTTGACTACAGAGGGGCCAATTGTATTTTGATGTGGCTACTAAAGTTTATGTTAACATATTTCAACTAAATAATAGGCAGCAATGTAGATAGAAAAAAAAATTTAACATAACAGGCCTCAAAGCAGACAGACCAGCCATAAGTTCCTTGCATTAATGGGAAACAGCTTTTTAAGTACAGGTCTACAATCATACCCCCAGGCAAAGCTTAATGCAGATGTAGGCCTGGGCATGGTGTCTTATTTGTAATCTGAGAGGCTACGGCAGGACAGCAAGTTCAAGGCCTTGATTACACAGCAAGATCTAACATCAAAAAACAAACATTCACTAAAGCAAAATGGAAGTGCAAACATAAAAGAAAGATGTGATAATGTGATACTATGATACGTCATATGCCTCTTGGTGGGGGGGGGCACACATTGTAAGTGCTATGTCATTAGGAAATTTCATCATTGTCCCTCTAAACTTAAAGTGATAGTTTGAAGGTTGAACTGATCACAAATGACCACTGATTTTACAATTATGCCTCTATAATGAACCTACATTAAAGAAAAGGCAGATTTTGGAGAGCTTCTAGTTACTGAACATATGGATAATAACAAACTTACTGATACATCCCTTTCTCCTATAGCTTGCCTTATGTATCTCATCATTTATATTTAAAATATCTTCACAAAAAATGGCAAAAAACAAATAAATATCTTCGAAATAAGCTCAATTATAAATTGAAGACGTCCTGGTCTATGGACCACAATCCAATTTACAGCTGATATCTGAAGCAGGAACACCCCATCAAGGACCTTTAACCAGTCACAGTAAACTAACTTGAGGTATATGGGTGTTCAAAGTGAATACAATGACATTTAGTTGGTGTCAGAGAACTGCTAACACTAAGAATAAAAACAAACATAAAAATGGTCACAGAAATGTTCTGAAGCTGAATACAGGAGAGGTAAAATGGTTTATTTTTATTTCCCTCCCCATCTTCAAGACCATACATTAGGGCTGAGTAGGGTAGCATACTTAATAACTCCAGCATTTAGGAGACAGAAGCAGGAGGATCCTTAGATGTGTAAGGCCAGTATGGTCTACATAGCAAGTTCCAGGCTGCCTCAAAAGGAGAAAGAGGGGAGAACAACAGAAGACAGGAACACATTAGCATCATTAGGACTAAAGGTGTAAATGGTAAAGGAAAAAAAGACTGTAGTTAAACATCAAGTGGGAAGTCAATTGAAGCATACTCTGCTACTACTCACTACCCATGAACCCTCTACTGCTTTAAGCAATGACCAATGAAGCCATTCTGTCACAAGAAAAAGTATACCATCTTCCTTTTCTTACTCCTTTCACCAACAATTTTATAATACTATGTAGGCTGAGAGATGGCTCATCAGGATAAAGACACTTCCTATCGGGCCTAGCAACCTAAGCTCAATTCCTGGGACTTGTATGATGGAAGAAGTGCACTAATTATGAAAGTTGTACTGACTACCACACTGAGCTTTGGCACTCCCCTCCCCAAATAAAAAACTATAATAAAAAAATTAAATACTATGAAAGAAATTTGAGGAATCAGAGCATATGGCTGAAGCTGAGACAAAGATAATTTAATGTCTGAGACAATTAGAGGACAAAGTAATACTGTAATTTGGCCCCAAAGGTGAAATCCTCCATAAGATTAGTCACTTCAGGTAAAACACTGGCCAAATTGCCGGTGACAGACATGAAATATTTCTGAATAAAATTAAGGTTATAAAAATTTAGAAAATGCTCTGTAACTGTGAAAGTTGTCTTTAAAAAAAGACATTATCTCTGTATGATCAAATGTGAGCTATCTTATACATTATATACTATATTCTATAGTTTCTACACAATATGGAGAGACGTGAACATACAGATTAAAGAGATTTAGAGTATAAACACTGGTACTCAAATCATGGCTCTACCACTTGTACAAATTACTACAGCCTTCTGAGAGCAGGTTTTTTCACCTTTCGAACAGTCGTAACATCAACACTTTCTAATACTTCATGAATTAAATGAGCATTCAACATGGAGAAAAGTGCCCAGCATAAATACAATAACTGTTAGCAATTACATGACAGCATTAGTGACACTCAAACTCACTGAAGAAAACGCAATTAAGAAAAATATTTACTTCAGGCACAGTTGTACATTCCTATAATCCCAGGTGTTTGGGAGTCTGGGTGAGGCAGGAAGATAAAAAACTAAAAACCAACTTGGTCAACTTAGTAAGACTTCATTTGACAAAATAAGAAAAAGGGAAATGGACAATATAGGTTAGTTGAGGTTTGGGGCAGAAACTCCTTTCTTCATAGTAAACTGATAAAACTTAACTTTCATCCATTTAGAAAATCTATTAAGGAAAAAAAAAACAAGATAATTCTAGTTTGTAGAAGGGCCATACCACCTACTTTTTCTAATAAAGAGATGCCATGATAAGTGAGAAAGCTTGTAAAAATTTTGCTCTATGCCTAACTAAAACTTCTATCACAGTTCTAAAACAGTTCAGATGAAACAGACATGTGTGAGTATTGCTGATTCAATTAAAATAAGGTTAACAAAAAGTTATATATTAAAACTATACTAGGGGCTGGCGAGATGGCTCAGAGGTTAAGAGCACTGACTGCTCTTCCAGAGGTCCTGAGTTCAATTCCCAGCAACCACATGGTGGCTCACAACCATCTGTAATGAGATCTGGTGCCCTCTTCTGGTGTGCAGATATACATGGAAGCAGAATGTTGAATACATAATAAATAAAATCTTAAAAAGAAAAAAACTAAAACTATACTAAGTCACAAAGTTTACTTGTTTATAGTCCTGGTTTTCTCGCAAGTTATACATCTAACATGAAACCAATGCATTTATGCTTAGATATTAAAACATGGCATCAGCCATATATGTGAGAATATTAACCAGTCACCTCCATACAACCTAAATACATTACATTTGGAAAAAGTGTATTTGAATCACAGGAACAAGTAATGTAACTCCAATCTTATAAACCCAAACCCATATTAATGATACACCTAACAAATATTGATAATGTAATTGATATGAACATGAAAGATTGCTTCAAGAAATAAAATATGGGATTAAATACTGTAAGACAAGATTATGGGACCAATATTTGTTTAAAAACAAACTTTTGGGTACTATTTCTAATATTTTTCAGTAAACAATCAAGATTTCTGCCGGGCGTTGGTGGCGCACGCCTTTAATCCCAGCACTCGGGAGGCAGAAGCAGGTGGATCTCTGTGAGTTCAAGACCAGCCTGGTCTACAAGAGCTAGTTCCAGGACAGCCTCCAAAGCCACAGAGAAACCTTGTCTTGAAAAACAAAACAAAACAAAAAAAACACAATCAAGATTTCTGTACCTATGTTCTTTGTGCTCCAATAGCTGACAGTCTCTACATGTCAGCCTATCGCATGTTTCACAAAACAGTTTCAGCTGTTCTTGTTTATGTACAGGACAAAACACAGGGCGCTGACCAGATGCTCCAACAGACTCTGTAACAAAATAAAACATTTTAAACAGCAAAACTTTTGACTAACTTTTCCTATTTTTATTGATGCTAGTATTCGAAGATCATAAATAAGTACCACCATACTATTTTTTACTCAAAGGTTAAATGTGAATATTAAAACTACATGTATAGGGACAAGAAGACAGCTCAGTGATAAAGGCATATGCTCCCAAGTCTGATGGCCAAAATTCATTCAATTCCTGGGACTCAAATGCTATAGAAAACTAACTCCTGAAAGCTGTCCTCTGGTTTCCACAAATAAGCACTATGGCCTGAATGTACACACACACACACACACACACACACACACACACACACACACACACACACACACCTTTTTTTTAAGCAGCAAATATATGTATCATACCTGAGACATCTTCTTTTTTCCTGATTAGATGATCTTTAGTGAATTTTACTCTTTGATGTGCTTCAATACATGTCTTACATAGCCACTCTCCACATTCTACACAAAAACCAACTGCACTTGCATTGTCTTCACAACTAGTGCAAACCTAAAAGAGAAATAAGCACTAATCTACATTACATTTATCAAATATAGAGCCACAAAATAAAGAAGTGAAAACTTTGTAACTTGCTCTTGCTCTCAAAGATACTAATTCATTATATAAAAAACAAAACCATCTTGTTATCCATTTATCTTCAACAAAATTCCTTTATCAATAAATCATTTAGATAGGTAAAATTCTAATACTCAAAACATAAAAGTCTATGTAAAATCTTAATAGCTATTTTACTTTACCAAGTCTAAGGGTGTGGAAGAGTTATCATTTATTCCAAACCGGAAATATAGCCTAAGTGCCTAAATGACTTAATCAAATATTTTTCTTATAATTTACATTTTGGTAACAAGGAAAATATTCAGAAAAAAAAATGAGGTACATACCTGCTCTGACTTCTCATCAGAACTGCTAGGAGCTTCAGATGTGTCTTTCACAAAATAATTATCCACAAGATCTATCTGTCTGCATTCTTGACGACAAACTGGACACCGTATTACACCAACTAAAAATAAGAGGGGGAGGGCGCGTTAATACTGAATAATGTTCTTCAAAATGGAAAGAAGGAAATTCTGAGCCAAGTGGTGGTGGCACATACCTTTAATCCCTGCACTAGGGAGACAGAGGCAGAGGCAGAGGCAGGGGCAGGAGGATCTCTTAAGAGTTCAAGGCCAGGGGCTAAAGAGATGGCTCAGCGGTTAATAGCACTGACTGCTCTTCCAGAGGACCCAGGTTCAATTCCCAGCACCCACATGGTAGCTCACAACTGTCTATTACTCTAGTTCCAGGATCTGATATCTTTACCCCAATGCACATAAAATAAAGGTTAAGTAAATTATTTAAAAAAAAAAAGAGAGTTCAAGGCCAGTCTGGTCTGCAGAGTGAGTTCCAGGACAGCCAGGACTGTGTACAAAGACCCTGTATCAAAAGGAGGTCAGGGGAGGAAGATGTCATCAAGATGCCTGAGATCTAAATTACTTCTGAATTTTTCAGAGGGACCCTATAAGAGTGAGGCAGATGTAACTAGTTCTGGGAAGTCTGATGCCTTTGGTCTCCTCAGGTACCTGCACACACTTACACATACCCACAGACATACGCTCAGAGTTTAAAAAGTAAAATGTTTAAAGATAAATTAAACTCACCCACGGGGCATTTTACAACCACCTATAATTCCAGTTTCAGGTAATTTGATTCCCTGTTCTGGCCTCTGCAGGCACATCATGCATGTGTTGCACAGACAAAACACCCACACTTTAAATAATGTTTAAAAAAAAAATACAGAAAAATGCAGCAGAATCAAAAGGACTTAAATGACTTGCATGGGCTAGTAAAATGCATGCTTGAGAACCTGATCCCCAACACATAGTCAAAAAGCCAGGCCTGGTGGTAGTTTGGTGGGGAGGTAGAGAGGAAGAATCCCTGGGGATGGCTGGCTAGCAGCTTGGCCTGCCTACCTGGTGAGTACTAGGTGTCAAGGAAAAACCACCATTCTCTTAACATCTGTCTGCTGTTATCTCCATGCTAAAAAATTTCTGTAGAAAACAGCAGTGGTCTCTTGTTTCAGGATCTAGTTATTATCTTTTTGTCTTCCCCCATCTCAACAGATTAATACTTTTTTTCTTGTGCACACATGTTCTCACACACACCTTTCTTAAAAAAAAAAAAAAAAAAATGCAGCTCCTGAAAGGAACCACATGATGTTCACACAAAACCATAAATAAATGACTTCATGATGCTGATACAGTATCTATAGGTTAAAGGATAAATTAGGAACTTTAGATGTTTTTGAATTTCTAAGTGGTTAATTTTAAAGGAAAATTACACAATTATTCAAAATGAAGGAAGTGTTTTACTCAAATGTAACAAGTATGTTTTAAGTAAATACTGTTCAACTACCTTCTCAACTGAACCACCAAGATGTAAGCAAGTCAAACCTAAGCAACTTTGATTACTTAAGAAGCAAATGACAGAACTTGGGCTTGCAAGGATGCAGCTCAGCAGCTTACCTAGCATGCATAAGGACTTAAGTTAGAGCCCCAGCTTAGACAGAGTACCCTTTAATATGTCAGGATTTATACATCTAAGAGAAGAAAAGGAGTTCTGAGATACAAAAAGCAGCTCTCCATCATTTTCATACTGTATTATATAAACATAACTTAAACTACTTCCTGTTAATCATTTATAATTAGCTTCTCATCACTGAAGCAATTTACTTTTAAATATGTATTATACTTGACCAGCAGTTCTTTGTATTACCTTACTACCTTTTTATTCAACCCTAGATTTTCCTTCTGATATCTTTGAGTAGTCATTCACATCTTCCAATTATATACACAAGCCTCTTCTTCAAAAAGTATGTAAAGATTGTGTGTGTGTGTGTGTGTGTGTGTGTGTGTGTGTGTGTGTATTTCCAGTTGAATAAGTAGTTGACAAAATTAACACATGTGGCCCCTAATTGCTAAAGTGAGAGGCCAGTCCAGGCAAAGAAAGAAACCTGTACATTTAATTGTAGGAAGACTGAATTAAATAATCCAGGGAAGGGCTGGGACTATTGTTCGCTATGCTTGTAAGCCCTGTGTTTAACTGCCTGCTGGGCAAAATAACAGAAGATGGAGATAACAGCAGACAGATTTTAACAATCATATGGAGAGCTGGAGATGAGAAGTGTTGAAAACTATGACAAAACAATTGGCAAAAAAAGTAAAGGGATAGAATGGCCAAGAGAAGCCAAATTAAAAAAAAAAAAATTACTTAATACAGGTGAAATTGGATGGGGGCTGGAGAGATGGCTCAGTGGTTAAAGACCACTGGCTGCTCTTCCAGAGGACCCAGGTTCAATTCTGAGCATCCAACCATCCGAAATTCTAGTTTCATAAGCTCTGATATCCTCTTCTAGCCTCTGAGGGCACTGTATGCACATGGTACACAGACATATATGCAGACACTCTTACACATAAAATAAATCTAAATAAAAGAAAATTAGAGGTGTGATGCAGAAAATAATTTATGAACTGGCTTATCCCTAAAGTAATACCATATATCAACATATGTTTAGATTATGCAAATAAATGTCCTACAAGCAAGCTCCTACAAATCAGTTTTGGCACTATGCATGAAAATATTTATTGAAATTAGTTATATGGTGACATATGTGCACACATTCATATTAAACCCAATTCTGATATCAAGCATAATGAAATATATTTAGATATTACATTACTGATATACTTAGTTTCACATATTGTGTTGGGAGAGGGTTGTTTTTTCGAGACAGGGTTTCTCTGTGTGTAGCCCTGGCTGTTGCGGAACTCACTTTGTAGACCAGGCTAGCCTCAAGATCTGCCTGCCTCTGTCTTCCAAGTGCTTCATATTTTCTCAAGAATCTATACAACTACAAACTGAAATTCTTAAATCTTATGTAACCAGAAAAAAAATGAATCAATATAGCAATACAATATTCAGCATCATTTAAAATGCACTACAAGGTTTTTCAAAATGGCAGAAGCCTATATAAAAAACATACTTTTCAAACAGTGATACATATAATTAAGATAATTATAGCTTGTTAACTATGTTTTTTTTAATGCAAGTTTAAAAAGTAAAACAGGGCTAACAAAACATTATTCCAAGTCAGGCAGTGGTGGTTCACACCTTTAAAACCAGTGCTCAAGAGTTAAAGGCAGGCAGATCTCTGTGAGTTCAAGGCCAGCCTGGTCTACAAAGCAAGTTCTAGGACAGCCAGGACTATTACACAGAGAAGCCATGTCTTGAAGACCCAAAAGCATCATTCCAAACACCAGAATTCACAAGTTGGAGAGAGAAAACTGACTCCTACAACTTATCCTGACCTCAAGAATGCCATGGTATGATGGGCAAGATAGCTCAGTAGTTAAGAGAACTGGCTGCTCTTTCAAAGAACCCAGGCTCAATTCCCAGCACCTATACGGTGGTCACAACTGTCTGAAACTTTGGTTCGAGAGAATCCAATGCCCTCTTCAGGTCTCCATGGGCACTAGGCACACATGTGGCACAGATACATACATACAAGAAAAACAGCCATACACATAAAATAATAAAACAAAATTTTTAAAGAATGCCATGATATGCACATACTCAAATGCATATACACATGCACTAAACAAATACATTTTTTTAAATATTTAAGTAAAATAAAGTCTTAATTCTAGTATTTTGGGAGAGTGAGGCAGGAAGACTGCTGTGGGTTTAAGGCAACCCTCAATTACAGAGTAGGATTCTATCTCAATTCAAAAGCAAAATCAAACAAAATCAACAGTAAAATATTTCAGCTACTAACCTGAGAATGACTTTTAAGTAGGAGGAGGATTTGGTGTAGTGTTCAGTGGAAGAGGGTATAAGTATAAAGGAGAAAATTCCATTGAAATACATTATATATGTAAGAAAATGTTAATGTCTATCTTTAAAATGATTTTATATTTCCACAGAAACATATACTATATAGTCCTTCACATAGTTTACTGTGTAATTGTTACCTCATAACAAGAAATGTCAAGATAGCTCTTAAAATATTCAATTCCAAAGTATGGCAATTCTGAGTCTAAAGATACATTCATAGGACACATGGCTTTTGTCTGCAGGCATACACAGATGCTTGCATATGTAAACTTACATACAACTAGATTTTTTCCTCTTTATGCAGGAAAGAGGTATTAAACTGTACAGACCCAAGGAACTGTGGAGCTGTAGCCATGAAGACTGGGGAGCCTATGGTCTCCAGGATCCAATGCATCTGCTTACGCACTGACTGCTTTAGGTCATCTGAATTCTGTACTGAGACTCAGTTAGTTATGAAAAGATCAAGAGGGGGCTGGAGAGATGGCTCAGGGGTTAAGAGAACTGCCTGCTCTTCCAGAGGTCGTGAGTTCAATTCCCAGCAACCACATGGTGGTTCACAACCATCTGAAATGAGATCTGGTGCCCTCTTCTGGCCTGCAGGGATACATGTAGACAGAACACTGTATACATGATAGATAGATAGATAGATAGATAGATAGATAGATAGATAGATAGATAGCAAGCAAGCAAGCACTGGCTGCTTTTCTAGAGGACCTAGCTTCAATTCCCAGCACCCATGCATGGCAGCTCACAACTGTCTGTGACTTCTGTTCCAGGGATCTGATACCCTCATTCACACATACATGCAGACAAAACACCAGTGTACATGAAATACAAATAAACTTAAAAAAAAAAAAAAAGAGGACTATTCCAACCCCATTTGTACTAGCCAACCAAGAACAGTGAGGATCTGTTATTCTTGGGATACAACATTTAATTTGAAAATACAGTCAGTATAGGGTAACTGAAACAAAGGGTATCATGTCTATCATGGTCTGCTGGCTCACCACTGACCAATAACGACAAAGTCATGCACCAACTTGATCCTGTAAAGGGAGTCACACTCATGAATAAGCAAACAAGTATAACCCATTTAAGGAGATTCGGTAACTTGAAGGAAACCAAGCTGAA